AATTGCTGTGTCGAGAATACCGACTAATTTGTCAATTGAAATTTTTTCTTTTTCAATAACCTCTGTTACTTCTTTGCTATCGGAAGCGAATTATAATGACGAGGAATTTGATTTAAATCATATCAAAGATGGAGTACATCGAGATGTATTACTACATTTAATAAGGAATTATAAGCCAAATAAAATAAAAACATCTGCCCTGAAGATAAGGATAGTGCTGACAGATCAACTTCCAATTCATTGCATTGCGTGGTGGCGCCGCGGCGTTAAAGATAAACAAAGTTTAGATAAACAAAGGATATGCCTTTATCCATTTTTTGTAGAAATTCCATTTTTTGTTTAATGAACTTTGAAACATACTTTCGCTTTGTAGATCATTTACATATAATAAATATATATTCAGAAATTTTATTTGACATAATCGAAAAGTTCATGCTTACTTTTATAAAATTGCTCTAACAGTCTGCAAAAAATAATAAGCCGGATCCAATTCAAAGATTAAGGAACAATGCAATCTGCAACATTAACTGAAATAGATAATTAAATAATTTTAGCTTAGCTTATACATTAAACGTCCGTTATACATTAAACGCGTCAAAGCGACGCATGCGCAGAAAGTTTGAAGCTTTGAGGTTCGGATTATAGAACATTTCGGATTATGGGTGTCCGAATTAACGACTTTTGACTGTACTATATTATTTTGTATTAAGCTTCATTGTGTGTTGTGTGAAAGAGTGTTGATTAATTTTTGGATTGCATGGTGCTATCTAAAGTGAATTCTAAATTTTTATTGCGTTTATCTGATATTTGAAAAGAATTGGTTGAATGGTGTATGAGTGTAGGATTAATTGCGGATAAGTATGAATGTCCAACATGTGGGAATGAAATGAGATTGTGTGAAAGGAAGGATGGCTGATCTTTGGAATATGGTAACAGGTAGTTTGGCGACATTTTGGAGGCGATAAAGGTTACTTATCTAGGACTTTGGGAATAATGTGAGAAGTACTCAGTTCCGATTACGCATCATTTTGTGTGAGGGAAATGAGAGATCATGAGATATGTCATGTGACATTAATGGACGAATCACTGTTCTTTAATCGGAAAAGGGTTTAAATTTGAAAAATCTGCTGTACAGCATAGTTTCATTCTATTCTGTGGAAAACCCATGGCCGTATAACAGTCAAAAGTCGTTAATTCGGACACCCATAATTCGAATGATCTATAATCGGACCTCAAAACTAAAAACTTTCTGGCATGCTCCGCGTTGACACATGCGCATAGGCGTTTACGCGTGCGTAAGACCTTTTACGACTGCGCATATGAGTGTGCGCAAGTGCAGAATCGTTTTAGCGTGCCGTTTTATGTATAATGGGTATAAGCTAAAATTATCTAATTATCTATTTCAGTTAATGTTGATGATTGGCGTGGTTCCTTAATTTTCGAATTGGATCGGGCTTATTATTTTTGCAGACTGTAAGAGCAATTTATAAAAGTAAGCTTAAACTTTCGATTATATCAAATAGAATTTCCGATATATATTTTGTTAATACGTAAAGGATCTAAGCGAAAGTATGTTTTGAAAATCCGAAATCTGTTTATCAATTTCCAGCTGCTCGGCGGGGGGATCACCGCAGCGGGCGCGTAATGAATTGGAAGTTGATCTGTCAACACTATCCTTATCTTCAGCGCAGATGTTTTTATTTTTATTTGGCTTATAATTCCTTACCAAATGTAGTATTTCATCTCGTCTTTGATATGATTTAAAACAAGTTCCTCGTCATTATAATTCGCTTTCGATAGCGAAGAAAGTGACAGAGGTTATTGAAAACGAAAAAATTTCGATTGACAAATTAATCGGTGTTCTAGACACAGAAATTATAGGACTTGAACAGCGGAACTTTGTAACTGAACAAGAAATTATGTCTGTTTAATAGAATTAAAGAGAAAGTATTATCACATGAAACGAAGCAAAAACTTAAACAACTTACATTGAAAGAAATTTTAATAAAGTAAACAAATAAATATTAAGCTTTTTTTTTTGCAAATTTTGATACCCTTTAGATCATAATTGTTCTTTATTTCATAAATTACGGTTTCATATTTTTAATTTTAGAATTTCTGCATGCCATCTTACGAGATTTAAACTGATGATCTATAATCCGGAAAAATCGATAATCCGGAATCGCCGAAGTCCCGACGAGTCCGGATTAACGACTTTTGACTGTATAAAGTAAATCTAAAATTTTTATTGCGTTTATGTGTAGTTGAAAAGAACTGCTTAATTGCGGATAAGTATGAGTGTCGAACATGTGGGTGTGAAATGAGATTCTGTGAAAGGAAGGATATTACAGATAAGTTTGAATGGCGGTGCTAGAAATCTGGTGAAAATGGACATTTTGTGATCTGCCATGCACTCAAGATTCTGTAGAAGATTAGTAGTTAGTAGTTTTAATTATTTGAGGATTTTTTTATGCATTGATCTAAATGTAAGGGTAATAAATTAATATGGGATTATTGGAAAATGTTTAAGTAGCATTATCTGTTGGATTTAGGATTGTTAATTGTTTTTTATTCTTAATTTAAATGTGGATTATTTACATTTTAGTTCTGTTTTTTTTTTTTTAATTAATTGTTAATTTAAGGCCGTGATTTTAGAGTTATTGTTTGTAGTATTTTGGAATATGTGAGAGAAGAAATTGCATGGAAAGAATTTAAGTATTTGACACTAAGTATTTGCATTTTTAAGGGTTTCGTTAAAATTGGCCGGTTGAGGTTTTTAATAACAGATAATTTAGAGGGAAAGGGATATTTTATTATTTTAACGTCAAATGTTCATCTTGGAAAGGGTATATACGTTTTTGCAGATAATTTTCATATGTGTCTTTTTACCGAATTTAAGATTCGCAAAATTTCTGCATTTTCGTGAAAATTTTGAATTTGAGAAAAAAAAGCAGTGACATGGATATGTGAAGAATGTGGCAATGCCATTTTTGTGCAAATTCTGGATTTTTTTTTTTTAAAAATTCGACGTGTACATGTTTATTTATTTTATTTTAAATGACGCATTTTTGAATTTTGCATTTTTGGAATTGGTCTATTTTTAGTGGTAAAGAAAGGCTAGAAATAATTTAAAAAAATTGACATAAGTATTTGTAAGGTTCGGAATGAATTCGTGGTGACGTGTATAATGTAAGATGATTTAGAGGGTTAAAGTTTTTTTGGATATTGTATTATTTATATGTGGAAAATGTTCATATTTGGAAGGGTAAATATTTTTGCGATCAGGTAATTTCATATATGTTTTTTACCGGGTTAAGATGAGAAAAATTGTAGCGTGTAGTGTATAATACAAGTGAAGAGTGCGCAATGCCAGTTTGTGGATTTGGTGCCATTTTGGGGTTTTTTAAGTAAAAATAAAGTCGACGTGTCAATGGTTATGTGTAGGTGCTATTCTGAAAAAACGGCAAGGAGTTTGGTATTGTGCACTTTTTCCCAGTTTTGCAGTATTATTTGTCATGATTAAGCAGTTGTTACATAAAATTTCTAGATAAGTGTAATTCGGCTAGTAGATTGTTGGAAAAACAGTTAAAAGAAAAGAAAAGAAAGAAACATGAAAAAAAAAAAAAAACAAAAAAATAAAAAAAAAAAAAAAAAAAAAACAAAAAAACAAAATATCAAAAAAACAAAAAAAAAAAAAAAAAAAAAAAAAAAAAAAAAAAAAAAAAAAAAAAAAAAAAAAAAAAAAAAAAAAAACAAAAAAAAAAAAAAAAAAAAAATAAAAAAAAAAAAAAAAAAAAAAAAGTAGAAAAAAAAAAAAAAAAAAAAAAAAAAAAAAAAAAAAAAAATGGAGGGTTGCTGTAGCAGAGTTGGTCACCAAATTTTTGCCGAAAAATCGCGAAGTTACCATAATCCAAAGATCAACCGGAAGGATATTACAGATAAGTTTGAATGGCGGTGCAAGAAATCTGGTGAAAATAGACATTTTGTGAAACGGAGTGTAAGGAAGGGTACGTGGTTTGCTGAAAGTCGCTTGAGTATGGGCCAAATTTTATTAATTTCTTATTAGTGGGTGAATAGAATGCCAGTTGACTACTGGATTATTTAATCTATAAGAAAAGTTTATCCGAACGGAGTTGTGGAGATTTTTTATGAAACCATTTAAAAATTATTTAAATTAGTTGTAAAATTTTTCATTTAAAAAAAAAAATTGTTACTCATCAGATTCAGATTGTGTATTCGGCCGTCATGCAGGTTGCGCTTAAGGCTATTGTCTTATTATATGCTAATTGTCTGGCATAGCCTTTGTTTAGAATATAGAGAAAAATATGAGGTTGAAGTAAAAGAAAAGTACCATAAAAATATTTTCCTTTATGGATTGGATGTGAGCTATAATAACCTAAATGTGAATGATTTTAGGAGTTGATAATTTTTCGTTAAAGCTTCTAAAAATTCTGGGAAAATATAAAAAAATACCAAAAAAAAAGTTTCTGTTGATTATATCTATACAATTTATTATATTTGATTTTCATGCCGTTGGATGTTTGCTGTAGCAGTGTAATAACATTTAAATGTATAGGAAATTGGACAAGACCATAAGGGCTGTTCATTTTAAGCATGCTTTGTTGCAATGGGGGTTCGGTTGTATTTAAATGTGTGCAAAATTGAAATCATAAATTTGTAACAAACTTAAATTTAAATGGCTCTGGAGTTAACTAATGATCTTGATGAATCCTGAAGACTGCTATGACTTGCATTATGGAATAGCACACTCCTTAATTGTGCTAAAAATATTGTCTCTTTATGATGCAGATGAGATCAAGTATTGCAGTTTCAGGCTTATATTTATATCACCATATTTATTGTTTTTATGCATCTGTATGAATTTATAGCAATTCTAATTTAGTAGGAACACACTTTTCAGTTTTAGTAGTTGTAAATAGAAAAACTGATTCAGATTATTAGATTTTCTGTCATTAAAAAAAAAATTCCAAATTTTATAGGTGGTTTTGGATATGTGTTTGTTGCTCAAGATATTTCTACTGGTGTGGAGTATGCATTAAAGGTAAGAATAAATTAATTTTTTATCCTAATTTGTTTTCATATTAGAATATGAGGCTTTAGTGTAGAATTGGGTGCTCCTTCGATTGGCGACATTTAAAAAAAAATTTTGGCGATGAAACCTCACTTCTGGTTACCATGATAGTTTTAACTTTGTTTTAGCGTCCCGATTTTATTTAAATGAAAATAGATTGATGTGTACATGGACATATTTAAGGTAGTGCACAATGCCTAGTTTGTGCAATTCTAGGATTTTTTTTAAGTAAAAACAGATTGATGTGTACATGGACACAGATCTTATTCAATTCTTCGACTTCTTGTTTTACTTTTGTGTAGCGGCCACCTTGAAATTCTGACTTCCTGGCGCCGATCTTGGTGTCAAAAAAGAATCGTGAATAAACAAGGGGCACCCAATTGTAAACTTTTACCGAATATGAAAATAAATTTCTCCTGATAATCCTTTAGTGCATCATGTAGTATTGTTTTTTTATTTATGTTTTTGTTTTAGAGGCTTCTAGCAGGTGATAATGACACCAGCAAGACTATTCTTCGAGAAATTAAATTTTTGGTATCCTTTTTTTTTTTTTTTTTTTTTTGTGTGTGTGTACGTGAATTTTTATATTGTCATAATAAAAATTTAAGTTATTGTAATTATTGCTTGATGTATGTTTTATATTTTGCAAAGGCTATTAATGATTATGATTATTTAATTAACATTTACTATTCTGTAAATCTTAATTAAATAATCATTCATCATTTTATTATTTATTAAGATTATTAAATCTTAATAAATAATTAATAAAATGCATTGCTTCATAATCATCATTAAATTTCTTTTGTTAATGAATGCTTAGATTTTTTCACTATTTATTTATGAGTAAAAGTTAATGTATCCCAGAAAGGGCAGGGTAAAATGTATGACTATTTTTATTGCATTCTGTTACTGATTTAAATCTCTCTGTAGAATCATATTTTAAATTTAGTTACCTTTATTTAAATGTTATAGATACTGTTATATCAGGTTGTAATGAAAGATTTTCACTAGGAAACATTCTTAATAAAGTTAGAAAAAAAAAAAAAAAAAAACATGAAAGCAGGACTTTTATTGTGAGTAGTAATCACCATCAAAATGTATGATTTTCTCCCAAGGGTTTGGTAATTTTTCAAAGCCTTCTGTCCGCTGCAAGTCCAAAAACAGGTCAACCTCATTTCGAATGTCCTGTGCAGAATGAAAGAAAGCACTAGTAAGATGTAGTTGCAGGTGTGAAAAAAGTAGAAGTCCGAAGGAGTGATGCTGGGGCTATATGGTGGGTGTAGCAAAAGATCCTATTTCAAGTCAAGTACAGAGTAAATCCAATGAATGCAGACGCATTTGGTCTTGCATTATCTTGATGGAACATTATATTTGGCTAATCTTTGGAATATGGTAACAGGTAGTTTGGCGATATTTTGGTCAATAAAGGTTACTAGCTAGGACTTTAGCAGTGTACATGGATAAAGTCAAGGTGAGTGCGCAATGCCATTTTTGTGCAATTCTGGGATGTTTTTTAAGTGAAAATAGGTCGACGTGTACATGGATGATACCGTGTATGTGCAATTCTTAAAAACGCGGCAAGCAGTGGGCGATTCTGCACTCTTTCACCCAATTTCACACCTAATTCTTCGTCATGATTAAGCTACTTTTGTTTCATAAAAGTTCTAGTATAAGCGTAAATTCGGCTAGCAGATTGTTGGAAAAAAATCGTTAATAATAATAATAATAATAAATAATAATAATAAAAAAAAAAAAAAAAAAAAAAAAAAAAAACACTCCGTAAAAACAAAATGGCGTCTAGGAAAAAAAAAAAAAAAAAAACTAGCAGATTACTGTAGCAGGGTTGATCACCAAATTTTTGCCAAAAAGTCGCCAAGTTTCCATAATCCCAAAATTAATCTTATATTTTTGTACTGGAACCCAGTTTGACGTTTTTCCTTGATAGCAACATCAACATGGACTAGCATTACTGTCAAGGGTTTTACCCTTTTCCAGATATTCTTTCTGGTTAATGCTACGGCAATTCCATCATATATAAAGTATGATATTTTTGTCAGTCAAATTGCACTTTGCGATACTGCCAATGGGCTCACAGTGTAATGACAACCCTCTTTTTGGCCTGTGTTGTTGAAATAAATCAGTTTTTCATCACAAGTGACAGTCCAGTCCAGAATTTTGTTCCTGCATTGATATTCGAGCAGATTAGTGTAGGCTCGAACACGGCTGTTGACATCAGTATGTACATACATACATATGTATGTATCTCATATAACTCAAAAACAAGCAGCCTCTGAATGTTGAAATTTTGTATATGAGACTATAATGTGTAGTTTTGCACCTCCCTTTTTGGTTATAATTGGCCACACCAAAAGGATATAAATGTTAGTATGCATGCAATAGTTGCTTTAGTTAATCTGCATGCAATAGTTGTAGAATTATTAACAATTTCAAAGTTGTTTAAGTGTAGCTAAGCCTAATAGAGCAGCCATAGTTGTTTATATTTGAAACTTGGCAGAATATCGAATTAAATCAGTTTCTGCACCTTCAACATCTTTTTGCTGGGTGGAAGTAAACTTTCAGTTTTGTTCACCAAAAAATCTGCCTTCTTGCCCCTCACCAAATTGCTTGTTTTTACGTAGAAACTCTAATTTTAATTAATTTTTTTTTAAAATTGTTTTATCTGTATTTGGTTTTCTATGTTTTTCTCCTTTTTTCAGTTTTTAATGAAGATATTTTGAGTTTTTATGTATTTTTGCCTTGTCGCAAATTGAGAACTTACTTAATTGAATGAGAAATATCTCTCCATTTAAATTCGAGGAGATAATGTTAAATGAAAGCAGCAAAAGAATGCATATAATTGAATAGGCCATAAAAGGAAGTCATGTGGGTGTCCACATCAGGTTTTTTAAGTATGTGCTTCTTGCACATACTTAAAAACTACTTCTAGCACATAAAATGGTATGTAATCTTGATTTATAATAATGGTGTTGAACGTGTATCTAGAATTTGAATCATTTATTAAATTTCAGTTAAAATATATAATATAATATTTATTTATTACATATTAGTTATATGTGTCATTGCTTTGTTTCTTGTACTCTTCCTTTGCCCTTTCCTAGAATATTAATGCAAATCCTTGACTGTAAAATTGTTAGTGTAAATCCCAAGTTGTTAAATTTCACAAATTTTGACTATCTATTCTGTGGCTGCTCTATAATTCCCTTCTCCTTGATAAAATTACTGGCAGCTTTTTTGAGGTGTTGTTGCTATCGGAGGATTAAAAAAAAAATGATTTATTTAATGTTTTAAGAAAGAAGGAACTTTGAAAAAATATTTTGCTTTTAATCAGCAGGTTTGATGTAGATGATGAGATTCTAGGAAAAATAAACTGCATATTGAATAGTTGTCTTCTTTATTAAATTACTGTACAAGTCTTTATGTATTGTTAATACAATGAAAAAATATATTAGCAAAATTTTTTATTACCATTTGCCATTGCTGTTTTCAATAGTTTGTTTTAAATATATATTAAATATATTTGTGTTATATTGATTAAGACATAAAAGATTAATTCTTGAATTAGGCTAACTACTGTAACTACTTCATTTTAAATGTTTAGGCATTTTAAACAGAATCTGAAAACAAAGATTTTAGTGCAGTTTTAAAATATATAAAAATCATGATCAGAAAATTATGCTATACTAAAAAGTTGTTCCTATTATGTACATAATTGCAATTTTTTAAAAGTTTGGTATTTAATGACATGTAATTTAATTTTTGAATTTTTTAAGTTGTTAGACTTTTTAGATTATAATAGGTCATCCAAAAAGTTGTGGAGTTATTTTATGATAAATATAAATGAACCAGTACATAAACATAAGAAACTTTCATTGAATCACACGAGTACCATTTTATTCTATAACTTTTTTGCCATCTCTCAAGCAATTGAAAAATTCCTATTGACAAGTGTCGTTAGGTTTACTCATTAGGAAGTTCCTGACCTACTTTCCAAAGAAGTGAACTCCAGGCTATTCAGAAAATTTTATGGTGGCCTAAAGGGATGAAAATCTAAAAGTGCAAGTTCTGGTGAATATGGAGGTGATATAAAACATTTCAGCCATACTTAAAAAGTTTTTTTGGGACATTCATTAAAATGTAGTGCCGAGCTATTTCAAGATTGAAGAGAATCAGGGCTGGGTAGGGAAAACGACCGACTCCGACTCCTGGAATTTTAATGACTCCGACTCCTTCATATATATGTAAACATATACACATGGGTACAACTTTTTTTTTTTTTAATTATAAAAGAGTACAATGCTACAGAAAAAAATTGATCGTAGCAAATTTTTATATTAATAACATTTATTATGAAATGGAAAAAATGGAATTAGCAATTTAAAAAACAGTAAAAACTTCCGCAAGATCTTCTTTGTTAGAGGACCATAGATCCATTGATAAACTTCAGAACTGAGGAGGAGTGTTTCCACACTGACTTGAGTAGAAGAAGAGCTGTTTCTGTTACGGCTACTTCTTTAACTTTCAGGATAGTTTTCTAAAGAGTTGTCTGCAAGAACAATCATATTATCTATTCTCATCGGCGTATAAATCCTGTTTGTATTTTTTCATTTTTATATCTAAAACCTCTTTATTCGCTTTGCCTTAGCCTTTTCAATGTTATCCAAATATTTCTCAAAATCTAATTATCAGTGGAAGAGGATGAGAGAGACTCAGTTGCAATATCTGCAGTTTGACTGTCCTGATTTGAATACTCCAGTTGTTATGAGAATAATTTCATTCTTAATGAAAGTTCATAGAAAGCTTTCTTTGCCTTTTTAATTTTTTTGTCATCCAACAAAGTTCGGCATTTTGGATCTACATATATTGAACCCAGCACGATCTTATTGTCTAGCAAACTATTTTTGCTTTTCTTCATTAAAGAAATGATTCATTCTGAAATAAACCCTTCATTTCAGAAAGAACAAACCTTACATTCTTCCAGTCTTGCCTCTTGTTACTTCTCAGATTGTAGCTTTTTGATGCTATATACGTTATAGAAAGAAGAGTTTCCAATTCTTCAAGATCATTCCACTGTCATTCTGTTAGTGAAACATTAGGGTTATCTATACCTAACATTCTCGTCCCCTGTTAATTCTTTAGGTTTTAGTTTTTTTGTGGCTATATGCGGTGTTGAAAAAAGGATTTCCAGTTCTGCAAGATCATTCCACAGTCTTTCTGTTAGTGAAATATTAGGATTATTTACATATTCTGAAAACGATCTTAATCCTAACAACCACTAGATCATCAAATATGTACTTCTCCATTGCGTTGCTCCTTTTCCTGTTTGCTTTCTAAGAATAGCATCAAATTCGGGAGTACTTGCTGCTTACCTAAATACACCAACGAGATTAGTAACTAAATGAATCAGTTATATCAATAATGGCAAATATCACATCCGTCCTGCTCCCTTGTATTTATTTACTAATATGACAATAAAACAGAAAATAACTATTTATTAATGTATATAGTTTATAAAA